GGGCCTGGCCTCCTGGAGGCCCAGGAAGAAGAGGAAGAAGAAGAAGAAGAGGAAGAAGAAGAAGAAGAAGAAGACGAAGAAGAAGATTTCTGTGGAAACTCATGGGGGATCCTCTCGCTGGCTCTTGCCAATCGACGCTGCTGGACGGCGAGTCGACACTCATCGACGCCAGGCGACACCAAATCGGCGCTATCCCATCGGTTACCCGACGCTGGCCGACGCGAATGCTCTCTGAAGACGTAACTACGAGGGTACACAAGGCTCTGCACGGTTTCCCCCAGGGCCGTAGGCGACCCGAGGAGGAGGAGGAGGAGGAGGAGGAGGAGGAGGAGGAGTGAGGAGGGGGAGTGGGAGGAGGAGGAGGAGGAGGAGGAGGAGGAGGAGGAGGAGGAGGAGGAGGAGGAGGAGGAGGAGGAGGAGGAGGAGGAGTGAGGAGGGGGAGGAGGAGGAGGGAGGAGAAGAAGGAGGAGGAGGAGGGGGAAGAGGACGGGTCGCCTAAGCCCTACGGAGAAACCCTCCAAAAGGCTCCCATGACTTGTGCTCCCGAAGAAAATGAATTGCTCTGATTCTGCTCCGAACGAGCCATACACGGGACTGCGAAGCAAACCCCCCAAGTTGGCCGGCAACGATAAAGGAAGAAACAACGGCATTAGCATAATTTCTGGCGCTGCGCGCGGATTTCTTGGCTGCGCTGGACTCCGCTCCCAGGCGCGCGGAGCGCGCCAGAGACGGCGCCGGAGGCGCCCCCGGGGGGCCCAGCGCCTTTCCAAGAAATCAATGTGTAGCGCCTTAAAGTTTATCTTTATGCCTTGTTATTCTGCACGGGTTTCTTGGCGCCGGGGCTTCGCCAAGGAACCAGCGCCAACTATGGGAATCGATGCAAGCGTTAGGTCGGGCACGTCCTCCTACAGGCGGAATCTGGGCAACAGATAAGAATATTCAAACAGTGCACAAGAATAGAAAGAAATAGTCAACCATGATCCCCGGGCTCTTTTTCGACTATTCTTGAATATTTGGTGCCCGTTCCATGGGAGCCTGCGTAGCCCCCGGCACTGTCCAATTTGGGCCTGATTTGGACCGGATTTGGAACAAATTTGGACCGGATTTGGACCAGACTTGGACTGGATTCGGGGGGGCTACCTAGGAGAACGAGGAGGGGGAGGGGGAACAGGAGGGGAGAGGAGGTGCAGGAGGATGGGCCAAAATGCGGTCCCCACGCTGTCCACATGCAGGAAAAGCTGATTTTAATGTCGCCGCCCAAGGCTCCCATGAACAGAGGTCGAATGAATATTCCTCCTGTGGAGGGACATGCCCGCCTTACTGCAGGCGGCGACAGACAACCCAGCCGCACCGCTCTTGGCCGAGGCGCTGGGCGTCTGGGCGTCTCGGAGCCCCCCGGAGCACAGGGGGGGAGCAGTTCGGGTCGAAGGATCGCGCCGCATCGCAGATGCGACGGCGGCGTATCGGCGGCGATGGGATGCAGAGCGGAAAGAGAACTATGCACATACACCGATTCTGGCCAGACCCATCCTGAGCCCAGGATAGTGCATACGCCCTCCTGCCCTGGCAAGGAAGGCATATGCACCGATCCTGGAGCCCAGGAGGGGCCTGGCCAGAATCGGTGTATGTGCATAGTTCTGTTCGCCCGAGCAGAAGAACGGGCTCCGAATCGCAGCGGCGATGCGGTGCGAATCCCCCGACTTCATCTGCTCTCGCCGGAGGCTCAGCGACTCTTGCTGCCCATCGGCTCGCGCTGGGGCCCCTGCGGCTTCCCGGACTTGCCTAGACCTGTCCGGATGTGAATCGGTCAGCATGCGGCATGCGATACATCTGACCCGATCCCCGCGAGTCGGCTGGAGAAGAGTCGTCAAACCTTCGGGTTCTCCTGCATCTTCAGGGGGCCATGTCTGTCCTGTCGCGCCCACGTCGAATAATGGTGCCAACGTCGAGCCCACGTCGAATAATGGTGCCCAATCCGCGCCGAGCCTGCGTCGGGTACCGCACTGAACGCAACAGAAAAACCGCCGTCCGAGCGAAGATCACAAGCGGGTCTCACGCGAGACGGCACGGCGACCTTGCGCCGCAACCTGCTCCGGGAGTGAGGGCGCTGACGCGCGACCTCACGCGGGCAGCTCACGAGCAATGTCGGCTCGGCTGCACCTCTTTTTCTAGGAACCACGAAAGGCGACACCGACACCACCAGGGCGCGAAGCGATGCGAGGAGGCAAGGGAGAGGTTTCCCTGGTGGTGTGGTCCTCCCCTCGCGCTCGAGGACATCCCCAACCTCCAGCTCGGGGAAGCACCGTCCTGGTTGACCCCAAAGGGGGTCCCGCGAAAAGGGGGTGGTGCAATAGCTATGTTGCAATCGATTTGTGGGGTTGCAATAATTTTGGGGTGTGCAATACATTTCCGGGCGCACATGGATAGCTGCATCTCCGCATGCAATACATTAGCTGCAACGCAATGCAATACAACATTCTCTGGCGCAGTACACTTGCAATACGACTGCCCCAAATCTGTTGCACCAACCCCTTTCAGCTGGACCCCCTATTGGGTCACGAGGCGCCCTAGACCTCCTCGCTGGAGGTGGGCCCCCTGGTGGTGCTGGTGTCGCCTCTCCTCCCTCCGCTTGCCTTTGAAAAAAGGGACGGACCGTCGCGGTATTCCTATAGTCCTACCACGACATGTTTTGGAACCCAAGAAATGTTCGAAACACAAAAACGAGACTCGTAGAACATAGAAACAATGTGTTAAAAACAGACACGTTCTAAGAACATGTCGTGGAAACACAAGAGGTTATTAGAGCATTTGTTAATCGGCCTATCAGAGCGCCAGGACGCTTCGCCACTGCTTGAGGCCTCTGCGCCGCTCCTCCGGCAGGACAGACGAGGACCCTCGAGGCTGCGGCGCCCCAGCCCGCCTCCAGGAGGGATCGAAGCCCCCAGCCGTCGCCCGGCCCGCGCCGCGCGGCGGGGGTGTGGGCGCCGTTTCGCGCCCTCCCCCCGCGCCAAAGGGCCGG